TGATTATTATAATGACTAATTTCTCTTCTTTGATATATCTTTAAAAAGACTACGAAATAAGAAATTTTAAAGTGAATAAATATCACAATGAAATTTATTCAAATGCAAGGGACAATGTTAACCTTAATTTTCTGAAGAAAAATGTTAATTTTTGACAGGATTTTAAAATTTGTAGAACACTGAATACACAAATAATTATTGTCATGTTGACGTATTACTGAACACATTTTTAAGAAATTATGTCTCCATCGATATCAACCTCTCCATTTAATTGTAGATTGCGCAATTTAATTTATTTCAATCAATCTGTTATTAAACTGAATTTTTATATTTACAGGAATTATAATAGTCGATTATTCTTTATCATTGCCTGATGTCAATAGCGGATGACAGCAATGATACGATGTTATTTGATATGCAGTATCGGAATATCGATTTTCAATCCCTAAATCGATTACCAACAGAAGTAGTACGTTTTATTCAATTATTCTAGTTTTGCATAAATTGAGGAAAGAATGTTCATATATGTAAAAATTGATAAAAATATAACACTGCAGGTTGAAATAGTGATATATTTACTATGTCTTTGTATCGGTGGGCCATTGAATTTAATTTGCTTCGGGCGATCATTTCGATTATACGTGAACGGTCGAAAGCAACGAAATCAAATACTTCTCCTTAGGCTGCACTTGAATATTGCTGACTTATTGACGATTTTCATCTATACACCCTCACAAATTATTTGGATGACAACATTTCAAGTACTCTCTCATTCATTTTTGAAAGTTTTTCAAAACATGCAACAATATTTGACAAGTACTTCTGCCAGCTCTTTGCATGAATCAAAGATGATCAATAAATATTTTCGATTAAAATAGGTTCAAATTATTTCGCACATCATTATTTCGAGTATCAAATTCCATAAATATACATTTTTTACAAAAAAAGAAAAACTGTCATGCAGAGAATTTCAAATTTTTTTGAAAATGTTTACATGATTTACATATTTTCTCGGTTAAAACAAAATTTTAATTTCTTCCGATAATTCAATAATATTTATATCAGCTTATTTCCGAGATATCATTGATTTACCTAAATTTAATTTCTTAAAAAAAATTTTTTAAATTTTTTAAATTGATTTTTTAGTGCATTGAACTTTTAAGAATCTATTTCACCTTCTGAACAAATAATTTCGTTAGAATCATTAGGATAATTAAGTTTACCGGTTTTCGAACGTAGATATAAATCAAATTGAGAAGTGATTTGTGCACAATTGAAATTGAACTGAATGAAATTTGATAAAATCTAATGAAGTTTCAGTGGTATGGCTGTGATACTTTATGTCGTATATGTAAATTTTTTCACACATTCAACTTTTATTTAAATTCATTTGTTATTGCTGTAATAGCGGTTGATCGAGCACAAGGAGCGTATAGAATAAAGTCAGTTTGATTTCGTTACTTCCCATTCCATTTCTTTCCTTCAACTTCAATTGTTCCACCTATCACTTCATCTAATGTCATTACTTATTCTATCAGATAATTTTGTTTCCAGATTGAATTTTATGCTACGTTTTTTTAATTTGAAAAGTTTTCTTATTTTTATTTTCTACTTTCCCATCTTTTCAAAAAAAATTAATTGGGACTAATTGAGGAAGTTGTCGCGCTGCATGAAATAGTCAGCGGCAATATTTAGAAGTTGTCATTTATGAGATTGTTGAATTTTGTAGAACAAAATAAAAAAAAATCGAAATTCGTTAATGGACGTTCTCTAATGTCTGGGAATTTTTTTTCATTTAATTTTTAAAATTGTTTTCAACATCGCGTTAAAATGGAATTTTTTTGACAAAACTTTCCTTCTTCTTCAACTTAATTTCCACTACAAATCGAAAAAGCAATTCAAAATTCTATAAATTAGGAAAATCTCGAACTTTCTGAAGCATATTTAAAATAAGAGGACGAATTCGGGTAACTGCCCTTGAGAATGTGCTCATCCTAACTTTATCATTCATAAAATATTTACATTTACATTCATTCTTTTCGTCTAATTCTGGATTTTGCTTAAAAGCAGCGAAAAAAGGAAGAATTATTTAAAAATTTAAAGTTTAAAGCATTTACAAGAACAGTGCGTTGAAGATAAAAAATATTTTGAACATTAATTAAAAAATTGAGACATTTGTGATTATAATTACTATTGCATTCTTTCTTTTCCCCTTCTCCCAATTTTTGCAATAAAAGTAATTTCATAAACATTCCTTTAATCAAATGTTATCCTTTTATTACAGATTATAAAATTTTCACTTCATAAACATATTTAAACATACTTGCATATAATTACAGCAATATAGAAGCATCAAAATTAGCATTTCGTTGGGTAAAATGTATGCTTGCAACGTCTTATATAGCTGCGATAATTTTCTCAGTACCACAAATATTTATATTTCGTGTGTATCAACCAAATGAAAACATCGAATTTCGGTAACATTTTTTAATTTGCAAGATTTATAGAAACAGTTTAATTAGTAATCAACAAATGAATGGAGAAAAAATGATTGAATGAAATGTTTGCAAAAGCAATTTCATCTCGGAAGTAATTTTAAGTTAATTCGAGTAAATATATTTTAAAATTTGAGTAAATAAATTTCAAAAAAAGAATTCTGCTTCAGCAAAAATTTTTTTTTGATAGAAATAAACTAAGAAAATGTTATTTTCAGTTTAAATTATTTTGAGTAAACAAACTGGGAAAACGGATTTTCTTATTTTTGAATTTTAATATTTAGGGGAATTGAAAAATGCATTGTGGTGATCAAATAATCAATATTCTTCCAAAAGAACACAGTTGAAATTCATTCATCTTTTATGATTCGTCCGTTGTCCCATAACTCAATGTGTCAAGTTGTGCGACAATGAGCGGATGTCAAAATGTCAGTTTCTGTGACATTTTTTGTCACAGAAATGTAGAGGACTAAAATATTATGTTGATTATAACAGGAAGAATCATAGCATATAATAGATGAATATTAAATTTTTTAATAAAATATTTGATAAAATTACTTTCGCCAAATTTTTTAGCACTTTTAACAATTTTTTAAATCTTCCAATTAATTTAAATTTAATTTTCTTTTGTTTTCTACAAATTCTTAGTCAGTGTACACCTATATGGACAATTTATGCTTACAAATACGATATCCAAATGCGATTAACTAAAACGGATCAAGAAAAGAATCTGTTAACAGCCAATTTCTATCAGGTATATGTATCACCTCTAATTGATCAATTTATCATCTGATTAAGACCAATGTTAGAATTAATCTAAAAAGCAATATTGCATGAAGGATATTTCTTTATAGATGTTCAGCAAAAAATATTTTTTAGTCTAAAAACTACTTAGTTAATTAATAAAATGATGTTATTTGCTTATCACAAATCATTGAGAGAATTGTTGCTGTAGCAGAAGCAGGAATCTGTGTCACTTTTGAAATTGTATTTCAGAGCCAAATACAACCTTTCTTAACCTTTAGTATATATTCTTTGTCTCATATCATTTTTTGGTATTCTGATCAGCGATAATACGCTCGAAATCTTCAGTGTACTTCAATGTATTTCAAAAGCATCTGCTTGTAGGAAACAGTTTTAGAATTTAGAAAAAAACTGAAAAAAGCAAAACTGATGAATACTGAGATAAATGGCTGCTCGCAGATGATGAAGAAATTAAATATTAAATGAAATATAAAGAGAAAAAAAACGAAGTAGCCGGAAAAAACGAGATTACGTATAGGCTGGTTTGTATCTTTTATGCTACATTTCACAATAGAAATTTAAATGGATTTTTAGGGACAATCAAAACAGCGTTATTGAAGTAATTATAAAGTGGAATTGTTGAATCAGTTTTTGTAACAGACTTGAAATGAAATATTTCAGGTTCTTCGATTAGAAAAAATGTATAATATAACGCATTTATTACTTGTATTTTGGATACCAACCACAATTATTGCATTTTCTTATATGTTTGTCATTTGTAAATTTAATTCGATGAAACGACAAAATCGGCACGGTAAACTTAAAAAATGTTTTAATATATATTCACATATTTGCTTCAATAATTCATTAAAAAGAAATTTTTCTTCTTGAACAGATCGCATTTGTTATTTTGTGGGGATTATAGAATGAGAATGAATCATCTAAAAATATCAACATAATATGGAAATTTAAAAATTGTGAAATGGCTTCATACCACCACCAGACGCTTTCAAATATTGTCACATAAAAATTTTGTTTCCTGAAATTATAGACATCAAATCACTAATTTTCATAGATAATACAATCAGGCACTGACCAAATTTAAAACGACATACAAACTTTATTTAAATTAAATTAGTTGTCACAATTTCAACATATTAATAATATTATAACAATATAATCACTAACAGCAATTTCAAAATTTGAAATTTTGGTGCAACTATCCAAAATGATCAAATATAGTATTTGAATTCACTTTATTAGCTAAGAGAACAAAACTTCTGTTCGTTAACTTATTGTTGAACCGGAGTAATTACATTGATCTTTGGAAATACAAGAAAAAAGTAGTCAAGATTTATTTACAATTTAAATTTAACTGCAAATTTGTTGAATTTTCAGCCAATCGGCCTCTATACAATAATTATATTATTTCACGTATATCACGAAACAAACAGTACGGAAACTTAAGCACTGATTCGTAAGTGCTAGAATAAAATAATTTTTTCTTTTCTTAAAATTCAATTGAAATTTAAAACAAGAAATTTTTTTCTTTTTTTGCTTTTCATTTTTTCTAAAAACAATTGCTATAATCTGTTATATAAAGAAAAATTTTAAATGTAAAAAATTATAGAACTGCAAAATAATTTGAAAAGTAACAAAATTGATTAAAATTAAAATTTGCTATCTAAATTTATCACAGGATTTGCAATAAAAGAATTCTTAACTTATTTTTTTAAATAATCGAAAAATCTTTTCAGAGGAATGGTAATGACGGCGGTAACGTCAACCGGTGCGCATGATATTTCTGCAGGAAATGATTGTTCTACCGCTACGTTAGAAAAAGCTGCCACTATTGGACCACTAGCCTTACAAACTCTAAGTAAAGCTTCCAAGGTATTATTCATTTAATGCTAATTTAATCAATTCCAAATTTTCAAAAAAGTGAAAAAAATGCAATTTTAAATTTTTACTTTTGTAAATTAAACTAATATTGAATGAGGAGAATTATTAGCAGCCTGATGAAGAGTAAAAACTTTGACTTGAATTAAGCTTATGGGTGGCAATTTTTTTTTCTCCTTTACTTAAATTTCACATATTTCTTTCAAGTACGACAAGATACAATTATTTATGATTAGACAAAACACCTTAACACTGAAAAATGATTGATTATAAGTAGATGGATGCTGCCATTTCCAACAGTAGTTTTGTTAAAGATTTTCTTGGCAAATTTCAAATTAAAGATTCAGAAATAAAAATAACAAATTGATGATTGATAATTTGTAAAAAAATACGGCTTGAATAATTTCATTTAAAGAATTATTTAAGATTTGTACAATTTGTTCTTTTTTTCTTAATTTTTTGTTTTGGCTATTTATTTCTTTCAATTGCATTAAAACTAGCAAATGTTGAAATAATAAAATATTTAAATGCGCAAAAGTAAGTTATCACAAGATATAGCATTATGAAATGATTTAAATTTGCATTATTCAAATCATTTTAATTGTAAACTTATCATTGTCGTTTTTTGCTTTTTTGATCATCTCGTTTGTTTTAGGAACAATAAAAGGCAAAAGATTATCAATGATTTGATTTGTTAATACATTTGGTTAAACATGCATAACACATTTATTGTAATTTAAAATGAAGATGAGAACTCGCAAAAATTCTTTTTTTCTTCGAAATTGATAAAAAATATTATTGTATAAAACGAAATTGATTTAATTGAAGAGAATTCAGTATCATTATATTGAAATTCTTAAATACTGAAGCTTGGAAAACTTGAAATTTTGTTTAATTTTAATTACAACTTTATTATCATCTTAGTCCAATCCTCTCACAAATTATCTGCAAATAATAGCACATAAATTGAATTGAATGCATTCACCATTCAAATAGCTAAATAAATTCAATCAAGAATTTTTTCACATATTGCAAGTATGCAACTTGTCTATATGCAATTCAAATTTAAAATATTCCGCTCTTTTTTAGTAAAATATTCATTAAGGGAACTTTTTTTTTTCATTCTGCTAAATTCTGACAACAAAATATCACTTGCATGCCACACTTTATCATTGTATAGCAAAATTTCCGTAAAATTGATTTTCGAATTTTCTCACTTTCAAAAATTTTTCCATTATTTATTTGTTAACTAAATTTTTTCCCATGCTAAAAAATCCTATATTGTATGCTGAAATTTTTTATCGAACATCGTTTAAACAAACAATATCGATTTAAACTTTTATTATTTTAGTAAAATTTTATCTCTTTAAATTTGTTTTAGATAGCCAAACGTCAAGCGGCTTTGACTTTAATCGCTTACTTGGCCTTATGGTCACCTTACAATATGTTAGCAATGATGAATACATTAACGATGCCATCGGAAAATGGTGAAGTCATCATGGATACCTTAAATTTTTTGAATGCATTAATTGTTGTTAATCCTGTTGTAAATCCCATAATTTATGGTCTTTTTTAACATTATTTTTAACTTTTGATTTTTTTACTCTTTTCCACTCATTCATTCAAAATTTTACCTGCAAAAAATAGAACCAATCGCAACAAACTAACAGTTAACTTTAATTAAATTTTATTTTCCATCAGTTATTGCTTCTCCTTCTCGCAATTATATATTGTGCATTTGAAAAAAGGAGAAATGGACAAGAAAACTAAACTAAATTTTTTAATAATTAATTAATTAATACGAAATTATGCAAACAAACTGTTGCTATTACGGAGATTTTTTTAACTTTTATAAGAAATTAATTGGTTAATGGTTATTTACTAATACTAGTGAGAGGTCTCGGAATTATACCATCACGGAAATAAGGATTATGAAATGACGCACTAATCAATTATGAGCTTAATTACACTTCAATAGATAAATTCGAATTCAGAAATTTTAATAGTTCTGTCTTTTTATTTTCTTATGCAACAGCAACTTAAATTGTAATAAATTTCAGTATTTTATTTCGAAAGACATCTTTTTCAATTCAATATTTGAAGGCCGTTTTTTAAAATATTTTTAATTTGGTCACATTTTGAAGTTAAGTGGTAAGCATATTTTGGTAAGAAATCAAATAAACACAATTTCCAAATATCCAAATAGGTTATTCGAAAAACGTAATACAAGTATTCCAATATATCAATAAAGGAACTCAATATTGATTAAAAATAAATTTGAGAACAAATTCCCGATCTCAAATATATTTTACAACAAAAGAACAAAAAAATCCTACAATACTGAATAATCAAAGACACTTATCACTTCATATCTTAAACTTATCTCTTTACATTTTGATTTCGGAAATGAATGTTTATTAATGGAGAAATGGAGAAGCTTAAAACTGATTTCAAATATGTGTTTTAGATTCAATCATTCTACCATTAATTTTGTTCTGCTTCTTCAATCATTCATTACTGCTCCAATTAAACAAAATTTAGAATTGAAAGATATAATAATTTACAATATCGTCTACGATTCTTTTTCTAGGATCTGTTAGCTTACTAACCCTGAAATGTAATGAGAATATATAAAACAGTCCTAAACTTCAGATGAAAAGTTTAGATGAAAAAATCTGAAGAAATATATTTACTTCTTCCTTCTTCTTTCCCCTTATCCAATTTCTAAATATTATGTGGGAAAATTGAAAAAAATTGAAAATAAATTGAGTATTTCTGTAATCATAAATCAATCAAACTTATGAAGTCAGATTTATCGAGCAATGATTCAACATCTAAACAACTTTGAAAAATGAATCGTGAAATTTGGTTATTTTAGAATTTGAGAAACCTAACATCCTTATAATTACTTAGAAATAACTGTACATGGCAAGAAGAAAACTCACAGATGAGCAGGAGTAAACATTTTTAAAAAATTGTTTTTTAAAAATTAAAAAAATTTAAAATGAACCATTGATTCAGAGCTAACAATTGCTTAAAATTTTCATACTATATACAGTAATAATTCTGCTACAATAATGCAGCTACATGGTAACCTGATACGGTAGAAGAGAAGGAAAAACATGTAAAGAGATTTATAACGGACTGTAAATGAAAGAATAAAATATTACGAGAGAGAAACTTTCCTTCTACCCTCCTTGCAGTAAACGAAGAAATTGCGGTAACTGACGGAATAAATTACCATCGCCTTCTGTCTCTTCCGATCCTACACCGGTAAATTGTGATATACTGCTAGAAATTAAGCCAAGTATCATTCTGGCACTGGAAGGACTAGTCATCCAGTATGGCTGCACCGTTAGTTGCGGTGGTTTTAATGAAGATTGTGGACCAAAGATTTGAACATGTGGATTTTCCACTTCACTCGAAATTTCATCAAACGGTTGGGCTGTTGATACCACTCTAGGTTTGAAAGATGTAGCAGTATCAATAACATTTGGTACTACAGCTCGAGGTACCATAGTAGTTGCTAAAAATGGTGCTACCAACGGTATTGGTGGTGACGGTGCTTCTACAAATGCTGGTATTGCCGGATGGCGAGTAGTGAAGAATGGTACGAAGGTTCCGGTACCTGGAAACATAAATCTTCATTTATCATACAAAAAAGTTTGATAATATCGATTCCTCGCATTCATTGGTAAATTAACATGAATATAAACTTTACTATTGTTAAATTCAATTGATTAAAATCATTGTTTCGAAATTCATTAGTCAATTAAAGCAAGAAATGAATTGTATGAAACACCATTTATTTCTAATAGTCCTAAACCAAAGCCAATCATTTGACTCATACCTAAAATTGCTATTAGCATTAATGAGAACGACTACTGCGAATTAAGAAAAAAATTATTTGGCCTAAAACAAAAACTGCACACCTCTGCAAATATTAGTCTTTTCAATGCATTCTTCTACTGAATCAAATAAATTTTGATTTGTTTCAATCGTGCGACAGCCGGGAAACCAAAATTGTTCACACCTCTGATTATTTCTAAAAAGTATGAGATAATATTTAAGAATTAAATTGCTCGTAAATACTCAATGTTTCCTTCTTCCTTTTAAAAAAGAATGAAAGCTAAAGAACATGA